CTCCCCACAGCAACAGCAAAAAAACAAACGCCCCCCATCCGGCAGCAACAGCAAAAAAAAACACTCCTACCAACCGCTGAGCTGCTCTCAGCTTGCAGGTCATGGACGAAATGGTCGAGACGACGTTGAGGCAACTTCGGTCCAGAGAAGCCGTATCAGCCCGGTTGGGTAGCGCTTTAAAGTGACAAGGGACTTCAGGTACCGGGGGGGGGGCCATGTGTTCACGCCGCTTTCGTCGACTGCAGGCCTGGTGTGATCAGCGGAAGGCTTAGAGTTTCGATCCCGATAACGGAGAGTTGAACTCATACTGTTTGGGTAAGCTGCTTTGGGTCCAGGCCACACGATCCTGATTGAAGCCCACGCGCGCGCAGGCATCCCGTGCTAAACAGTAAGTTAATTAGAGGAAAGCTGCTTCTCCATCTATCTACGTATGCACATATACATATACATAGACATGGACATATACGTACACATATGCATGTACGTACACACACACACACACATATATATATATATATATACAGATTGCTTGCTTGCTTGGTTGTCTGGTTCATTGATTGATTGATTGATTGATTGATTGACTGATAGACTGACTGATTGACTGATGGACTGATCGACTGACTGACTGACTGATTGATTGATTGATTGATTGATTGATCGATCGATCGATTGATCGGTTTGTTATGCCGTTTTACAGTGAAAGGCCGCCGTTGTCGATCTTGGGATTCCGCATGACCCCCCTGCCTTGATGGACAGGGAACAGAGCCGCAGCTGAAGAGGCAGGGTGATTTGACAGCAATGCAAATCTCGAGCTATATACTTTGGCCCCAAAGTACCTATATAGGGACTACTTTAAGGCCAAAGTATATACTATTTGGGTACATGGACAGCCATGCGACATGATGAGGAATGCTTTGGCATGGTCGCCTTGCGATCGAATGTTCGCACAGCAAAGGTGGACTTCGGAGATTAACGTGACGTGCTCGCAGCTTTTTTTTCCAGCAGCATGTGAAGATAGCAGAACCTCACAGTCCAACAGCCAAAAAGTCCATGTTTTAACAGTGGCTCACCATGTTGCAGGCATTATCCTTGTAGGCCAGTTCTCCGCCCCTACCCAAAGTTTGCTAAGCCCACCCCGCCCCCCCACTTGCGCCAGCCAACTCTCAGTAGCATGGCCCAGCCACAGAGCAGCAGAGTAAACGAAGATTGGCGCCGTGCATGTTGATGCATCATGATCTGTTTCAGCAGCAACTGCTGCATGATGGCATCGCCCCGAGTTTCTTGTGGTGTCCGGTCGCCTCTTGTTAAACAGCCAAGTACGCACACTGCTTCCTGCAAGGGGCCTGCCCATTGGCATGCTCTCAGCCCCTTCTAGCTGGAAGGCCGCCGGCGATGGCAGCCATAAGAGTGTGGTGGAGACAGAGGCACGGTGGAAGAATGAGGAAGGATGTCTTCCAAGTCAGCCACCGCACTAAGCCACTAAGCAGTCCATGGCCATAAACTCATTGCCCACTGAAGCTCTGGTGAAGCACCTGGTGCCCGAGGTTGAACCAGCATGCATGCTCATGCATGGTGCAGCGTTGCTAGGCCCGACCCCGTCGTACCCCCAAGCCCCCCGGCAGCCCTATCGTGTGCGTTGTGACTGCATTTAAAAAGGCTAGCAGCTAGCAGTGCACAGTTGAGAGGAGTGGGCTGTCCTTGGGCGGGGCATACCACTTTGGGGGCGGGGGGTTCGCCGGACGCGGGACCATGTGTAGTTACCCCGAATACGGTGAAAGCTACACGACTCGCCAACCCCACACCTGAAACCCCCGAACCGGTTTAGGGTTTAGGGTTTAGGGTTTAGGGGTCTTGTTGCAGCTAGCATGAGGAAGTCTCGGCGCATGGGCCGGACTTGATGCCGAGCTTGATGCCAGTACGAGGACAGAGCCTAGAAGAGCGGCTTCGACTTGTTTGATTTTCTTCTTGATGGTAGGACCCACATTTTGGCACTTGCATGCTGCAAAAAGTTCGCCTCTGCGAGCTTGTCCCAGCATCTCTGTAGGTTTTCATGTTACAAATGTCGGATTTGGTGGAAGCGTTCGCAGGGCCGGCATTTGATTTTAAAAGCTGCAAGAAAATGGCACTATCAACTTATTTCATAATTTCCACCGGTGTCGAACAAGTTGGCAGGTTGAAAGCTTGAGCGTGGAAGTTCGGCACACAAGTTGACCCTGCCGCTTTTTTTACGATGCACTCAGAGGATTTTGCGGAAAAGTGACAGGGGCCAGCATTGTAGAGTTCTCAGAAGTTGGAAGTTGGACCTGCCAGATTATCCTCCAAACGTGGTGCATGGGATCACGGAAATGTCGAAAACAAAGACGGCCAACTTTAGACACTATGGTGCTGGACTAGGAAGTGCAGGCATGGTAGCAGCCCGAGCCCCTTGCTTCTGTCCAAGACGGTTGGCACTCGAGAAACCCTAAACATCAACCCCATTTTGCCTAAGCTTGGCAGGTGTCACTAAACCCCAACCCCTGAACTCTAAGTCCAGGAAGTCTTGCGCTATCGGCCCCCTTGGTGCTGCGGAGGCATCTCGGGACACGAGCGGAGGGGACTAATTACAGAAGAGAGGGGTGCCGACGGTTGATGGAGGAGATCCACTGCAAGACAATATCATAATTCCCCTACTGGAGGGTGCTTATGGTGCTGAAAGTTTTCCGTCCATCTTTGATATTTATACTCAGGTTTTGAGGTCCATAACGGCATATGCATACACGGAATATCATCCCGATGTCCTAAACCCTAGTCCCTATCAGCCCCAAACCCAAAACCCTGGCTTGGTTTATTGCATCCCATGGTTTTCAGTGAGTGCAGCAGGTAGTCCTGCAACCAGTATTCAGCCGCCATGGCGTTCCAACTGTAACGGGGAGGAAAAGAACCGTCAAAACAAATCCAAACCCTAAACCCTAAATCCCCAACCCTAAACCCTAAACCCGCCAACCCTAAACACTAAACCCCCAACCCGCTAACCCCTCAACCCCACATCCTATCAGCCCTGTCCATGAAGCCCAAAGCCGAGGTCCTGCTTCGGCGATGGCTCTTCCACCGAGGCTCCCTCTGAGACGCTTTGAATTCAATGGGCCTCCTCTTTTCATTTACTGTTTACTTATTCATGTCGACTTCAACTATGTTTTTTGGGCTTGTTTGGAGAGGGGTGGGGGGGTTGGGGTTATTTTTTGGCTTTTTGGGTTTTCGGGGTGTTTAGGGGTTTCGAGGTTTGGGGGTTTGAGGTATTGTAATTGTAATGGGTTTAGGGGTTTGGGGGTTTAGGGGGTTTAGGGATTTGGGGCTCTGGGGTTTTGAGGGTTCGGGAATCTAAAAACAAGATTTTGTGTGGTGCTTCGTCGTTTGGATCTTTGGAATTGAGAACATAGAAGGTTGCTTCACTGGGCGGAGAGATGTTGGATTGGCATTCATGCTCTTGATTGGATTGTCCTCTCTCGTGGAAGATCGCTTCGCGGACATGATCTTTGGATTGAAAACTTGGACTTGTAAAATACAACTCGCGGCCACTCGCCCCATTTGGATCTCTGGGCTTGTTCCAAAGTCCGTAGCCCCTGGCCTCCAAGGCGCATTGTTGCCGCCGCTCGTCGCATTTAGAGTTGGGTGTCATTTCTTGGTCGGCGCCATGCGCGGTGTGACGAACTCCCAGAGCCTGCATCCCGAGGACGAGCCGAATGAGAGCTCCTCTGAGCTGCATGACAGTGTCCTCGACGCAGCTTGACCGATTTGGCGTCAAGTCAAGTCCGCTTTTCTCTGCTCGCTTCTGTCCTCCCTATGCTCCATCCTTCGACGCCCATGACGAATCTGCAAGTAACGAACAGTGTCCGGAGTTCTGGGACCTACACCCCCCTACGCCTCCTCCCAGCAGTCTTGTTGCACGTAAGCAGCGTGGCTGCGACGGGGAGGTAGTACTACTGACTCCTTACTCCTGGTCCTTACCCTAATCCTCTTCCTTCTGCTGCCGCCAGTGCCGCTACTGCCGCTGCTGCTACTGCTACTACTACGACTACTACTACTACTACTACTACTACTACTACTACTAGCCCTACAGTACTACTAGCACTACTACTACTACTACTACTACTACTACTACTACTGCCATTACCACCACTACTACTACTACTACTACTACTACTACTACTACTAGTACTACTACTACTAGTACTACTACTACTACTACTACTACTACTACTACTACTAGTAGCTAGTAGCTAGTAGGTACTAGCTACTAACTACTAACTAGGAACCACTAGCTACCAAGTACTAAGTGCCTACGGCTAACTGCTAACTAGGAACCACTAGCTACTAAGTACTAAGTGCCTGCAGCTAACTACTAACTACTAACCAGTAGCTACTAAGTACTAGCTGGCTACTGCACTACCAACTACTAACTTCTACCTGCTAACTACTACTGACTGACTACTACGAACTACAACCTACTACGACTAACTACTGCTGCTGCTGCTTCTGCTGCCGTCGTAGTACAGTAATCTTTCAGTCCTCAGGAGGGCAAGCGATGCCTTGACATGAACGTGCCCCAGGACCATCGAGAGAGCCAGGGTTGCGGGACGGTACCCCTTGCGAAGAATGATGTGAGACGATGCCCGCAGGAACACCTGGTGATGATCACGGTCATGACGATGATGATCCTGCTGCTGATGACGGTGATGATTACTGCCAGTGCTGATGTTATGTAGGCAACGACGTGACGATTACGAGCAAGGTGCTGCTGAGGGTGCGGAGTAAGGACATAGCTTGAGCTGCGTTTCTTCACCTTTCCCAGGAGCGTCCTGCTGAAACGAGGCGAGGCCCTGAAGCGTCTCTGCAGTCTGCTGCAGCGGCAGCGCGCGCTTCTGAAGCTGTGCTCACAGAGTGCTACATGCCGCAGGCCCACTCGCGTGGGCCTCGCTCCGATTGGTGACATCGCGACTTGGCGGCAAGGGCTGGGCACCTTTCAGCCCACATCAACACTCGAAGGGTTGCATGCACCCACACACACACACACACACACTCACAGACCCGAAGCTTCATGTGCAACTCTCTTCTTGCGTTTCTCTGGATTTGTACTGGCAGCTTCGTTTCGCTCACCCTGTGGGCCGCTGCAGGTGTTCGCGGCTTCACCTTCGGAGATGCCCAGCCGCTCCAGGCCAGGGGTACCTGAAATGCTCGGATGCTGTACCTGCCATGTGCTGGAGGGCAGAGGCCGCTCCGTCCGGAGTGATCTAGCTCATCGCGACAGCCTGCTATCTTCTGTCGGTAGGACTCTCGAGGAGTCAGAGCTTGGTTTTCAAGAAGTAGAGCCCCTTGGCAGCACTGCGGACGTGTGGAGCCTGACTACCGAGTTTGAGCCTCCCCTTCTACTGGTGCCTGCATCTTTGATAAAGCTCAGGAGCACCACCTATGTCGTGGACGCTTGCAACCTAGACGTCTTAGGAGTGACATGTCGCCGGCCTCACAAGTCAATCTCTGACTTGTGCTTTTGCAGCCGCAGTCAAATTCTCTGCCAAGGTCGTGGTTGGTGAGGAGCGCTGCTGCCTGCACACTCGTATGTTGTAGCTTGTTCAGAGGATCGCAACGAGGGCCACAGCAGACGGGAGCCAACAAATTCCGGATGGCTTGTGCCATGCCATGAGCAGGAGACAGTAGGTCTGGGCCTCCTCCTGGACGTAGACGATGATCGAGCGGCTGTCGCGCATGTTCGGCCAGGCCAGGCGCATAGGTGGGGTGGGCCTTATATTATTATTTAAACTACGAAACAGATAGCATATATTGCATCTTTTGAGCCCTCGCAAGAGTTCAGAAACGTCTGCTGTTTTAACCAAGGCAGTCTGCTCCACCGATGGAACCTCAGGCCCGGTGTCAGCGTGCCCTTGTGCCTGTGTAGCTGAGACAGGTCAGCGTTGCCCGAAAGAAGAACCAGATAGGCAGTTTGCAAGAAGAAGCGGAGAGTGGATGTTTTGACGGAGGTGTGCCCAGGAACAAATTGCTGCGGTCTCAGCTGCTGCAGTCAACCCTAAGTCCTAAGCCCCAGACCCTAAACCCTAACCCCAAACCCTAAACCCTAAACCCAAAACCCTAAACCCTAAACCCTAAACACCCTAAACTCCAAACCCTACACCCCAAAAAACCCTGAACCCCGGCTAGCGGTGCCGGCCTTGAGGTCAGAAGAGGCGATCTTCTGCTTGCAGTGGATGGGGAGACGAAGCGCGGGGCTTAGTTGAGCAGAGCCAGTCCGTGATTGCTTGGCACTTTCCGGAGCCTTTCCAAGAGTGGGGCGGGCCTCGCAGAAGTTCGTGAAGCAATTCTGAGTCCTGTCTCAGGCTCCTTGGCCAGGCAGTGATTCCGAAACTGTCTGGGGTCACCTCTGAAGGAACTCTCCATCCCACGCTCCCAGCCAACCCCTGCAAGCTGGTGATCGTAAAATCCATGAATCCTTCGCCACATCAACCTACATCTTCAAAGAAACCCCCAAGCCGATCGGGGCACAAAGTCCGCTCCTCCCTGGCGCCCCGAGGCCACCTTTTGAGCTGGTCTCTTCAATGCACCATCGGGCACCCGGCCTGCTGAGGCAAGTTGAAAGCACCCGTTACATGGGAGCGACACGACAAAACAAGTCTTCGCAGAAGCCTGCTGCTGCTGCTGCTGGTGCTCCTGCTGCTACCAATACTACTATCACTACCACTCCTCCTGCTCCCCCTCCTCCTCCCCCTCATTCTCCTCCTCCTCCTACTCCTACTGCTACTCGTCCTTGTCGTCGTCGCCGTAGTTGTAGTGTAGCACACGTGTGTGCGCAGTAACAATTGGCAACGGCGAACGCCGACAGCATCTGGCCCGAATCGCCGTTAAAGCTTTTCTGATAGCTCCTCTGACGCCGGTGCCATGTCGTCTTCAGGAGCTGGTGGACCCGCCGATTACGCCAACCTTCCAAGGAAGGCACCGCCAACGCCGAGGAAGGCTCCGCCGCAGATCCCGCAGCAGATCTTGGATCCTACCGCCGTTGTCGGCATCGAGCGGGCCATCGGCGACCTTCGGGCGGTTCTCACGGCGGGTCGGCAGGGGGGCTACGGCGCTTGGAGGGCCCTCGCCGAGCAGATGAACATGGAGGACAGGACGGCGCTTCTGGAGCTCGTCGCCGTGCTGACCATGACCCCGCCGCTGAACCTGCCGTCCTACCACGAGGTCTTCCAGCACTTCGGCAGCCGGTTCCCGGCGTCGGTCACAACGGCGGCACAAGTGAAGGCAGCCCCGCCGCCGCCGCCAAGGTCGGCCAGTCAGCCAGCCACGCCGGCAGCCGGAGGAGTGGGGGCACCGCCGTCAGCATGGGCTGGCCAGGTGCTGTGGACGCCGCCCAAGGCAGCGCCGGTCGGTGAGGCAACCGGCGTCTCAGGTTCTGTGTTCTTGGACGATCCGCCGCCTACTGGGTCCACCTTCCTCAACCAGGCGCCGGCAACCATGGCGGAGGTCCTACGCCGGAACCTCGCGA